TATAATTTCAATTTCAATTCATTTTTTTATATGGTGCCAATTCACAACACATGTCATCTCAAGGCACTTTACAGTTCACCAGATCATAAAGTCCAATTGATTCAAAGTTTTCTATCTAAGGAAAACTTGATTGCATCAACTCATTGACTCGAATGCAACCCCTCACACTAAGCATGCTTTTAGCGACAGTGGAGAGGAAAAACTCCCTTTTAACAGGAAGAAACTTCCAGCAGAACCAGGCTCAGTGTGAGCGGCCATCTGCCTAGGCCGACTAGGGTTCAAGGAGACAGAAGCAGAGATACAAAAAGCAACTGTAGAAGGCGTCCCAGTCCAAGAAACACACAGCCAGGCAGACGAGCTTCGAGCCAACTTCCATGTCAGAGGATGAAGAGAGCACATCCAGCCAGTCACAGTCAGAGAAACAGGACTACACTGGAAAACAGGCTGATCTCCAACATCTATAAACAAAGGTGTTGATGGCAGAAGCTACTATGAGAAAAAGCAGAGAGAGCATAACGTTAGAGATTGAACTAATAGATTGTGCAGAGTGGGAGAAGAGAGATAGAATGAAGCAGAATGATTAAATGGGGGTCCCTATGTCCTCCAGAAGTCTAAGCCTATAGCATAACTATAGAGATATAGTTATGCTGCTAACATATAACAATTAATCATACAGTTAGTAAGAAATTGGCAAATTAAATGACATTGAGCCTGACCCAAAAACATTGAGGATGTAGACAGGTGGAAAAGAACAGTTTAATAAATGCAATATATATAAAAACTTAAAATGATTTAGCACAAATGGAAGACAAATGCAGTTGCTGGAACGAGCTGAGTACTTTCTTTAGTCTTGATATTCGAAGAACAGCCTCCAAGTTTCAGTGTAGCAAAAACCACACGCCGTGAACGCCGTGTGGTTGACCCAAAAGGGGTGTGTTTTTTTGGCTTGCGGTCGACTACAGGGTTAACTTTACTCAATAACTATGTCAGACCTGTTGTCATTTCCTGAATACAAACAGTTAAGATCAGTTAAAGAAAAGTCTGTATACTGTATGAAAAAAACAAAAACATCTGAAGCTATACTCACTTCAATATTAAAGATTTTTTTTTAACCACTGAAACTTCTTAAATTATACTGAAAGCAATTTCATTAGTTTGCAACGACCTAAATCTATGCTTTCAATGACATTTATTTTTTCTTCAGTTTCAAAGCAATGCTTCGTTTGTCTAATGCCTGAAGCTGTCTCATAGCAAGAGTCTAAATGTAATTGGATTGTAATGAAAACAGTCTGTAACAAGCATCATTCAAATGATGAAATCCATACTTTTCAATTGGCTAAGACCATAGATATGTCATTTCTGTTCCAGGTGATTTGAGGTCTAAAGGGGATTGGTGAACATCAGCAGGGACCCGTCCGCTCGTCTATCCATCTTGTTTTTCTTCTTTTAATTCACTTGCAAATTGACGATCTTTTGAGTACTGTTTATAAAAGCCAAGGTACACTCACTGATCTACAGTCTGAAAATCAGGGGGCTTTGGATTAGGAGGAAAAAAAACTTTTTTCCATGGTGGGAAAATACCAGGATAATAATTTACTGCAGGTATATTGATATTGAAATTTCATAATATCTTAACAGAATAAACCAAAAAAAAAAAAAAGAAAACAAAAAACCCCCCCAAAATTGAGTCATAACTTAATAAACATCAGACTCAGTTAATCTTACAATTTGTCTTGCATATGGTTAATTCTATGCATTTTAATCGATGCATGCAAATTGTATCAAAACATACGATTTGTACTTTTCTTACCCTCACTTCCTTTTCCGATATATTTAATATCCACCTGACCTCCATCTGTAGACATAAAAATGAAAGATATTACTTCAGATAAATTACCAGACAGCAAAGCCTTGAATAACCTCTGAAGCTCAAATACAGATGTGGGCATTAGCATTTCATACAGAAGAAAACACAGCATAAAATAGGAAACCTACATCCAACTGGATTGTGGGGATTTAAAAATTCAAATATAATCTGTTTACTGGATAAAAACAGTAAAAAAAAATATAGCAGGCAGAGAAAGAAGCAGCGTGGGGCAATTGCCTATATATGACAATACACAACTCCAAAAAAAGCTCCCTGTGCCCCTGTTTCCTGTTCAAAGAGAATAACATTAAAGCTGATGAAGATGGAGAGCTTTATTCTGCTGGGCATTTGTCTCACAGACTTGGAGATGGGATTTGAGATTTGTCATTGTTTCTGAAATGTCTGGTTTGATCTCTGCATTTTGCAGTTTTTAGTTTTGCTTTGTATGCAGCCCAGTTTGAAGAGATTTTTAGTCAATCAGCCAGACCTTCTTTTACAGTTATTTAATGCCACGTTGTGATTTTGTCACATGGTTTGAACTCTGTAGTTTAGATTGCAGAAACACCCACTAATACTGATCCTCTGTTGCCTGGATCCAACCTCTAGCTTTGGTTTATGGAGCGTATTGCCACTTCCTATCAAAATAAGAAATCTTAATTTGAGGAAGTGAGTGCTGTGATCAGATCCAGGTGAGATCACCTTGCTGAGGCGTAGTGTGAGAGATGGCTTTGCGACAATGAGTTCCCAAGGGGGTGGGGTCCCAGCACAGGAAGAAACTGCCTGTAAACCAGTTTACCAGCTGCAGGAAGGCTAGGCTATGGATTTAGTTTAATAGATTACCGAAAGAGCTTTAACTTTGCACAACAGATTACAGCATGGTTAAGAATAGATTTAAAAATAAGAATCATAAAAAAAGCTGGGCTAAATTTGCATTATCTGCCCTGTTCCTCTTGTTACCCTTAAATAAAAACCAGTCTAACTTCAGAATTCCTCCATTGCTTCATTCACAAGTCACTTCAGAAAGGTCAGGAATACAACTGTTTTAGACTAATATCACAAGCTTTTAACATTTTACAGATAACAGTTTTGAGCAGCACCTGGGTGCAGTAGGTCCCAGGATCGATTCCTGGTCTTTCTGCATGGGGTTTGCATGTTCTCCCTGTGCATGTGGTGCTCTCTGGGTACTCTGGCTTTCTCCCACAGGCTTCCAAGTAGAATAAGGGATTTTAAGATCTCCTAATGTGTCCTTTGTCAGGATCTTGGCACTGATGACTGGATTATTGGTTCAGTCCCTCCAGCTACCTATCCCTGCCCAGTTTTCACTTCCTTTTATCAGATCCACCTGTTCAAGCTTCTACTTTAACTGTTTATCCCTGAGCCATCAGTGCAAGATTATTCAAGCCATAGAGAGAGTTCTCTAGCGTATTGAGTTTGTAACTCTGATTGCCTGATCCTGACTAGTTTCTGCTCCCAGACCTCTTAGCCTGTCTGCCCCTGTTCTGACCTGTTTGCCTGACCTGTCTTCGGACTCCTGCTGGATTCTGCCTGCTTTTGACCTCGGATCTGTCTTCTGACCCTGGCTTGGATTTCCCTACCGTACCTCTTCAGATCCCTCATCTTCTGGCTTGGACTTCTGGTTACCTCCTCAACACCGGTTTTGGCTTCTCCTTTCAGAAACTGTCTGCTGGCTTCTTCTTGTCAGCTGGCTCTGCAGCCCTCTTTCCTTTGGCTCCTGAAACTCTCTGGGGGGCATCTGCCATGGGCTGTGTAAAGTCACCTGGCTGGATTCCACTCCTTCCTCTGGGCTTGGACTGAACTTAATAACCAGGTTAGTGACTCACATGCTTGTTATCATCCTCTGTTTGAGTTACCTGATCACTAACCTGCAATTTCCCCTCTACAGAGGTTGTGGCCATTTATCCCTAGCTGCTGTCCTGCTGGGGTTTATTATAGTCAATAAACGCTTTTATAAATCACTTTAGTCTGTCTGCCTGAATTCTGGGTCCCACTTTCAGAGCCCTGACATCCTAATCTCGCCCTGTGGTAATTCCAGTCATCATTACAACATATCCAGGTTACTTGCTTTAGTGCGTGGAAGGTGCTTCATGTTCTCTTCAGCCGAGCTGCTGCATTTAAGGCTTGTTCACAGGGGTTTCATTGTGTTTTTGTATTTTTATGTTCAGCACTTTTCCAAAATTCCTTTTCATGCCGAAGCCTCTAGAAACTACCAGCTGTACAAGTCCTGCTTTTACTTTTAATACAACTCTTCCACTTGTTCATTCTTCTTTTTTCTCCCCATTCTCTTCTACACTGGAGAGGTGGGGGGAAGATGAAGCACTCATTTGCCTGGAGTCTTTTTCCCGGCAGCGGCCCAAGCTTTAAGATGGATTGAGGGGGGGGAATTTGCATGAGGCGGGGTAAGGGCGGTAATAGAGATGTGCGGGGAGAGAGAGGGAAATGTTACTGCTGAGGTAAATCAAATGAAGGTTGTAGAGTGTGTGTGTGTGTGCGGGTGTGTGTGGGGGGGCATGGATGATAATAAAAAAAGTGCTGTCTTATGTTCAAAAGATACACACTGCTGCTGTCTACTTCAGATTGAGCGCTGGATTGACTTTTACCTGGTGGAGATGCTGCCTCTCCCCTCTCACCCTCCCTTCACCCAGCCTGTCTGGAGCCATAGAGGATTGTCAGTCTGTATGGATGAAGATGAACACGATCAGAGTGTGCCTCTAGCTCAGCTACCTGCGCTGCCTGCATCACATCACATCTGCACTCTGAAATGCTTTCGCAGGCGCACATTCAGAGAACTTTCTCTCCTGCACACTAGCTGACGAGGATCCAGCCCACCCCGCCCCCCCTGCCCTGCCACCCATCAGTGCAGGCGAGCACTTCTGTTCGTACTGGTGTGAGCAGCGACGAGCCGTATTTCACTCCCCAGCCGCAGCAGCAGGACAGCTCCACAGGAGTGCAACCATCACCAGACATCACACACCAGCTCAAGGCAGGCATCAACCTTCTCTCTTTTCCTCTTTGTTCTCAGCTGTCCACTTTTCCTCCTTTCACTGATCTTGAAGTGACGCAGTCTGCCTGACCTTCCCTTATCTTTCTACTCTATTTCTGGCTCTTCAGCAAGTGGGAGTGCCATGGAGGACACCCTCACCTGCAGCCATGCCACCTTCTCCCAGGTGTTTGGACGGCAGGGGCAGCTAATGCAAGCCAGTAAGTAACAGGAAACACTCCTCCACAGAAAATCACTGTGATCTGCATGTATTATGTGTCAGTATCTGCTCTCCATCCTTTGATGATTTTGATGGCTTTTTTGTTGCAGTTTTTCCTTTTAGATTGATCCTGACTCTATGCAACAAACCTTTGTAAAAACATGTTCCAGGTTCTGGGAGATATCAGGAATAAACATAACAAATGGTGGTTGCACTAATATAGGAATCCTCTTAAGTTTTGCAGGATTGTTGGTGTTATAGGTGGTAACGCAGTAAGTTTATGAGGGGTAGCTAGAGTATGTTATCTGGTGTTTCATTGTCAGGAGGGGGGTTCCAGGGGATGGCTGTTTACTGCAAAGAGCTTGGTTAAATTTGGGACTGTGGATTAGCAAACCCAGGGTTTTTTAACCAAAGAAAAATAAACATTTAGGACACAGATATAAATTAAAACTTATGTGATGCAACATTGATGTATAACTTTTGATATTACTATACGTCCCATAAGCATTTGCTAGAGGCACTAAAATTAAAGTATTTTGATGTTTTTGATAATCAGCTGTTCCTGTGGTTGATATTTTGTGGGACATTGTTTCATTTAATTTTATTACATTTCATAAAATTTCGCTTATGTCTTTGTGATATATCCTGCGCTCTTGGTACTGTTAGTCTGTTAATCATCTTTATCCCTTTTATAACATATCTAATATTAAAGTTGGCTTTCATAACAGCCTTTTTGGTGATGCTCTGTGATGGCAGCTATCGTCAAACCATTGAATTCCAAGATTTTGCAAGAAAACTATTAGACATATTGTAAATATGTAGATTTTTTTTTTTGTAATATTGTAGATTCTTTTGTTCAATTTCCCAATGGTGAAATTTTGCTCAGTGTGTGAACTCATGACATTGGCCATGTTATTCTGCCTTTATTTTCAATCAATATATTTTCTGTCATGCTAAATCACATTTGGGGTCGCGAGGGGTGCTGGTGCCTATCTCCAGCTGTCTATGGGGGAGAGGTGGGGTACACGCTGGACAGGTCACCAGTCCATTGCAGGGCAACACAGAGACAAACAGGACAAACTACCAGTCATGCACACATTCACACCTAAGGAGAATTTAGAGAAGCCAATTAACCTAACAGTCATGTTTTTTGACCGTGGGAGGAAGACGGAGTACCTGGAGAGAACCCACAAATGCACAGGGAGAACATGCAAACTCCATGCACAAAGAAGGAATCGAACCTGGGACCTTCTTGCTGCAAGGCGAAAGTGCTACCCAATTTAATTCATGTAGGGAACTTTGAATTGTCTTTTGGCCTTACCCTACTGATTGCATAAAAAAAAATTATAAATTAAGGCACAAAATCAAAATGCACTTAACAACAATAGAATGTAAATGACATGCACAGAAGCCCATGGCTTTGGTGCATGCTACTAACTTAAGCACCATGATTATCCAGTTTGTGACAAAAAATCAAAATAAATTCAAATGAGATTAAAACATGTTCTCGTAAAAGACGAAACATGAAGCTTGTATCAGTTCAGAGCTGCTGACCAAAAAAAAATTTAAAAACAAAACACACATTGTCTCATCTGTTTAAAAGACTATTTGCTTTCAGTACAAAGGACTGCTTTGTTCCATTTTGTATAAGGGCTGGGCAGCAGTATGCCAGCATGTATTGGGTGTCATATTGTACTGTTGGTGCAACATATTACACTGTGTCAACATAATATATCATATCATACATCATAGTACTGACAGACAGTATGGAACTGTATTGCATCACATTGTGCCATATCATGGCATCTTATTCTATATTCTACTGGCATTGGACCCTATGTATTTCAAGAACTCAGTTTAAAGTGCTTGGATAAAAGGAGAATGGCTGTTTTTAACTTTGCTGTTCATGTTAGTTGCGGATGTTGTTAGTGGTAACACAGCAAGTGGGCGTCTTAACTCCCATGTTTCATTGGTTGATGGTGGGGTGGGGGGATCATACATATTATTTGCTAAGTAGCTGATGTGTTTTTCTTTAGTTTTTCTAACACATTGGGCATATTCTCTTGGTAGTATTACGAGTCAAAAAATACAAATGTTTTTTTTTCCTTTTCATATTTTATTCATTTTAATGTTTTTTTTTGTGTTTCAACAAAAATAACTGTCCAGAGTATTATGCTGGACAAAATCACATACACGTATGCAAATGTGGCTTCTTTTAGTCTTTATTGGTGGATTCTTTTTGAAGGCAGCTACTGAGAAATCATTTAAATGTAAAATTTAGCAGTAATAAAGTAATAAATCACATCATACAAAATTGTAGTTTAGTATTCTGTTTTTAATGTTGCCTTTCTACTTTGTAATATTTGACCTTACCCTTTGTATATCTTATCTCATATAGAAGAAAAAATATACTTTTCATTGTCTGGAATTATATTTTATCCCATTCTTTATGTTATGTATCACATCTCATTGTTTATGTCATTTGTTATATCTAATATATAATACTGCATCGCATCATATTGATTTTGATAGCATCATTATATATCATAAATCATTAAATAGGGGTTGTTACTAGTTTCATTTACTCAGTTGAGTAATATATTAATAAAATATTTCTACTCTTTCTGATGTAAAATGGCCACTACATCCATGGTGATTAACTTCTCCATGTAAAAACATGTCTGATTTAGAAAAAAATGCTTCAGATGAAGACCCATAATTATTGTTTAGTTTGATATATGTTTGTATTTGGACACAAGCTTATTTTAACCTACAATTACATTTGGAGCTCAAGGTAATATACAGTAAGGAGTAAATATTGTCACTGGAGACAATGGTTTCATACGTTTTATGTAAAAAAAAAAAAAATTGGTTTGGAAAAGTGTTTCTTAATGCCTGCAGTTGTTATTTTTCAATTGCATTATTTGCTTTTAATTATTTTACTATAGTTTTTTAAAATGCCACCTATCTTTACATTTTGGTCTGTTCTTATTATATAGTTTCAAATATCAGATTTTATCATAAGCAGCCCTTCTAAACAAACATTTTTTTGCTCTTACTTGATTAAAAATATGATAAAGTAGTTTTTCTCTTACTTAGGTGCAATTTTTGGTTCACCTGTTGTCTCAGTTGAGTCCTCGAGAGCTGCTATCCTGCAACATTTACATTCATCCCTTTTCCAACATGGCAGAATCAAATGAATGGATCGTTACTAGGTTTCTGCTGAGCTAAAAGACTTTCTGATGGGAGGATGTAGCCATTTTTTAGGGATGCTATATTCCCAAAAGTATTCACTCACCCAAAGAAATAATTAAAATCAATTGTTCACAGTTGTGTAAAATCAAGGGAGCTCTTAGGAGTTCAGTGGATTCCAGCATATTACTTTGACAGAAAGCAAAAAGTCTAGCTTTGACCTTTCTTCACTCCTTGTGGGGCTGTTCTTCAACAGCAAAGCTTGGCTCTGTTCCACTGAGAGGAGTCTGAGTGCTTTATCAGACTGATAGATTTTGAAGAACCACATGCTTCCAACTTTGTAGGAAGTTTGCAGGTGACCACTTCCAACATAATTGTGCACCAGTGCATAAAGCAAGGTCTAAAAAAGACATGAATAGAAGACTTTGATGTTGATGAGTTAAACTGACCTGCTCAGAGTCCTTACCTCAACCTGATAGGTTCTCTAAGCTCCAAATCATGTCACAGACTCTGCATCACACTGACAACATCAAACCAAAACACTGCATATTTGCACCATATATATATATATATTTAATGCACTGAAATTTCATTTCAATGTGTTTATTTGCACCATGTTTTTTTTTTTCTCCCCCACTGTTTACATTTGATCACTGCTGTACTTTAAGGAATGGAAATGTCATGAAAGCTGTACAAAACGAAAGATCGATTCGATTGTATATGCTCTATGTATAAAAAATGACAATAAAAGCTGTCTAAGTCTAAAACTTTTTTGGGATGAATTAGAGCAGAGAGAGAGAGCCAGGCCGTCCTCTCCAACATCAGTCAGTGACCTCACAAATACACTTCTGGAAGGATGGTCAAAAATTCCCATTCATATGCTCCTAAACCTTGAAGACAGCCTTTCCAGAAGAGTTGAAGCTGTTATAGCTGCAATGGACTGAGGTCATATTGAATCCCTATATATTAGGTAGATGGGTGAATATTTGTGGCATATAGATTATGTCAAAGAAGAAATGCATGTAATATCAGGACAGTAGCCCTCTAGCACTGGAATTTGGCACCCTTTTTATTAATGTTATCCTCATGGTCAGAATTATAGATCTAAGGGAATACAGTATAATCGTTGCCATTTAATTGGAACAAAAATGTCTTCAGAAATGGCATTGCCTCTGGAATCTTCACACATTTGCCTCATAATTTTTCAAGTTATTTTTAAAGAAATACTCTATTTCCAGAGCTCAGCCAACCACGTAAAGTGTTTTCCCCTCACAAAGGATAATGAGAAGTCAGAGATATCCCAACGATCCTTCCTTTTGTATTGCACAGACTTTGTTGCAGCAGCTTTAATTTCCTGTATTCCTCATCATTACTACCTGGAGAGAAACATTTCTGATTGGAGTTCCAAAGCAAGTGTTGCAGATGAGAATCCAGTGAGCACATCATGCTGAGAGGCTGATAATGGAAACTGCAATTATTTTGGAAAACATTTCAGAATGCTTCTTGACACATTTATTACTGTAGTTGTATTGCAGGTCTTCATCTGTTAGGAATTGTATCTATGCTCTATGTTAGGAGATGAACTTTGGATTAGTGCTGCAGTGGATTGTTTTCTCTGCTAAGTTCTTAACCCTCTTTTTGCACTAGAGCGCCCTTTTATAAATAATGCACTTTGTTTAAACATATCCTAAGGCTTAATGCTGTGTTCATAAGAGCAGGCTAGAGCTAAAGTGTTGCAGGGCCCTGATTACAATTCTGCTTCAGACAGCCTAAATGCTGGAAGCTGTTTTTGAAAATGAGGGTTTTATG